GCACAGAAATTCTATCCACACTCGCACAGCTCGCCCACGAAGAATTGTTTAAAATAATGAATTTCAGTTTCAAGTTTTCACACTCAACAACTCTAACAAATAATAACAAGTTTCAAACTTTCCTTTAACCCGGTTGGAAAGGAATCATATACTAAACAAAACTAACCAACGCAGCTTACTAAATACCACAAATCACAAAATAACAGCATGACTAAGAAAAGGAAAACAACGGTACCCAAACCGGATTAACCCAGTTTAAAACTGGATAATTTATTCTTTTGAAGACTATTACAAAGTCTTAGAAAGAAATAATAAAACACAAAAAAGTCGAAAGACAAACCCATAACACAAACAATTTGCTTTTTGGAAAAAGTACATAACCAACAAGACATAAGTAAGACCACAACAAACCCAACATAAAACGTTGTCACATAACAGGACCCCTCACAAAAACCGCATGAAATCATACTCCCACACCTGGCCTAACCCACCAGGAAAGGACGTCCTGAGCATGCTCTATAGCCGGCCTAACCCACCGCGCTACATCCACGCTTTGTGACCACACCTTTATTTTTAATAAGAGCTACTCAAGGGTGAGTAACTCTTCAAAATAACCAAACTAAAACAAAAAGCTTTTGTGAAAACAACTAACTAAAATCATAATTAAAAAATATTAAATTAATAAAAGTTTTATAAAATGTAAAATCACATGATGCAATATATAGATCAGAATACAACACCAAGGACGAACATCAAAAGACAAGACGACCTCACTACACTCGAGAGAGAATGACCAACTATAATCGATATGCCGCTCACAATCACAACTCAAAGGATTTAGAGTACGACTTGACCTCGCAGAAAAGGACTTCATTGAACTAGACCAATGACCACCTCGATGTTCAAGTATACGTACAGATCCGAGTAACCAGGCATCCCCTCCACGCACAATCTCCACGCCATTCCCGAGCTAGATCAAACACAAAAGAAGTTCTCTCCGAAGAACAGAAAAACCTGACATAGCCAACCATTCTGAAACCAGAATTGATGCTGTTGCAGAGACTCAGTCGTTGTCACAAGAAGAACACAACGTCTTGTGTCCTCAATTCCAGATCCCTGGAACTTCCTTAACAAAAAGGAAACAAAAGAAAAATGATGTTCGCCAAATACCAACGTCCATCATCCATCCTTGAACTACAAAAGAACTGTTCTAAAAAACTCTGTAAAACCCGGATGGGTGGAACCTGATCTAAACTATATTTTATGATTGGATAAATTAAATGTTTTACCAATGTAAAGTATTTAATATTAACCAATCATGATCCATCTAACTAACAACCCACTTATTTGTAAGTGCTGAAGTTACTTGTAATTTCAGCACCAGAGAGATTTGAATTTAACTTAGAAATTAGTTGGACTCTCCCGAGCACTTCAGCAGCCGCAATAAACCAGTATACCCTAGATCTATTGAGCCTAGCAGAGACTAGTTAAACAACCTGAGACTAGATAGTATAAGAGTAAGATTAGGATCGGTATTAGACTAAGAAGTTGCACGAATCTATCCGGCCGAAAATAAGATAGCGTGACGAGCAGACGGTGTACCCTATCCGAAATTACTCTATGAGTTAAACCCCAGTCCTAACTCAGTAATCACTCAGCTTTCTAAAACAGATTAATAAACGTTTTCTAATAACTATCAAAATGATCATTGCAGCAAATTTAATGAGGCAGGATGTTGGTAGACATCGCTTCGTGATCTTCGTCACTTGAACACTTGTTGATCTGACAATGTCGTCGTAGTACGTTTTTTTTTCAGACAGTTAAAGGTACTTCAAGAATAGCTTTTAGTAATTATGAGTGGTACAAAATTGAAGCCTTATTAGTCATGCTTCGGATTCCACAAAATGTCAAAATTGTTGTCCTTTTTTGTATCATTTCTCAATTTTGCAATTTCACGTATTTCAATCGCCTCTTTCCAAAAAAAAACAAATTTATTTGTAGGTTTTTTCTTTTAAATGATTTTTGTAACTATCCTTTTAATTCTAGGACTGGGAAGGAACTGTGGTACAGGGCTTTTTGCTCCGACAATTTGAAAATGGAGAGAATTCGAACGACAATTAAAAAAAGTGTCGAGAAAAACCCAGTTGAAGTTTTTGATTTTTGGTCTGATTTCGAGCGAATAAGGCTTAAAATAGGGCTTTAAATACTTTATTTATCCGTAATGTAACACGCGAGAACTTAGATTTACTCGGGTAAAGGTAGTTTTTGGACTTTGATTGCAACAATTTGGGAACCGAAAAATTTCAAAATTATTTATCAAAATTCAAAAAAATTCTGCAAAAAATATTGAAAAAAAAATTTGAAAAAGTTTGATTTTTTTGTAATTCTTTTTTCATGAAAAACTGTTTGCTAGTTTGCATATTTTATTATGTCTGTCAAATATGCCGGATTTTAAAACTATGATCGGATTATTCTGTGCTACTTTCACAGTAACCGTCTGTTCCTAGTATTCCTATTTTTCCACGTCAAAGAAATTGTGCTGCAGAATAACAACTGTGATGTTATATCAGCTATTTTTCAGGCGTAGTTTGAGTTCCGAGAAATCGAAAAGTTGTTTTAGTTTCGAGTTTTTGTCTAAACTTTTCAGAATTTTAATGTAAATTTTTTGAAAACTGATGACGCTGAACTGATTTTCACTGACAATCATTTTGATTCTACTGTAATGTTGACGTTGTTTTAGCGATGATTATCTCTCTTTCTGCAGCAGCTCGAACTAATTTAATTGACCTTTGCTTTACAAATAACTCGAAAAATCAAAAAAAAAATTCATATCAAAAATTGACGTCGAAAAAGATTCATTTTTTCCTTTCGAATATGAAGTCTTAGTGGTAAAAATTCGGAGTGTAACAAAAAATCCGAAAAAAAAATCAGTGTCGAGCAAATTTGTCTGAATACTTTTGAACTTCAGACTAATGGTTAGAAAGCATACTGAGGCGGCTGACCTCATCCATTTAATTTTTCTTTAAATATATCAATGATTTAGCTTTTCTTAATCTTCATTATTGCAGTTTTTTACTCAACTGAGTCAATCTTAACGAAAAAATAACAAAAAATAAGAAAAAACGTAATAAAATTTTTTGCTATTTTTAAAATAATTTTGTCTTTGATTTTAATTTCAGTTTATTATTTTATTTTCGTAAAATATTCTGTGCAACTTGCACAGGAAACAGTTATATTTTTGTAATGATAACAGTATGATTACGGGCATTTGATTCGAGCACATCAAAGGCAGTAAGAGCAAAATAAGTAAACGATTTTTGTTTAAGCCCACGGCCCTTCTCACTGCAAGGCCTTCTTAGGGCGTGGGACTTTCATCCATTTTGCCGTAGCCGTTCCTATTTTGAAGAGGCAGAGAGCATTAGACTGACGCCGATCGGGACCAAAGAAGGATTTGAACGCTTGAACCGCATATTAAAAGTCGCGCACCGTACCCACTGGGCCAAATCGCTTTCAAAGTTGAACTCAGCAGATTTGATGCCAACATTATGTTTGTTTCCCTGATGCTCTTACTTTCCTCTATTGTAATTAATAAAAATCAAGTTATTGGGCACTTTACTGCTTTTAACAATCATTTTCGTGTTCTAACGATCCAACTGTCACTAACTTGAAGCAGAAAGGCAAAATTTTCAGATGCATTTTTACTAGATTGAGGAAATGTTTTATTGTATGTTTTCACTACTTGATTGATATTATTTCAAAAACCTAATCAGATCTTAAGAATTTGTCATACCAAGTATGCAAGGTAATTTATAAGGTAACTCTTTTCATTAATTAAAAAACATTAAATTTTTTAAAACCCGCCCCTCCATTCGAGAGAATCCTAGATATTTGCAAAAATTTTATCTTCAAAAAAATGTAGCAATGAAAGATAAAGACAGGTTTAAAATAAAAATCATTATAGTTTGTGGTTAAAATTTTGAGTTTGGACTACGTTACAGACAAAAAATTAAAAAAATATGCAAATTCACTTTCAATTTAATTTTGGAATATTTTAGGTTGTGCTTAGAAATGATTTTGAGATTAAAGAATGCAACAAAAAATTCAGGGCTTCAACATGAAACTAAATTTTTTCTAGACTAATATCGGCATCGCCGTATCCTTATACGGATTTTTTTGTTTTCCCGCGCGTCTTGAACTACGCTGAAAAAAAAACTGGGCTACGCTGACTTGATCAGAGTATTGTACCACTCAAAGCAAAAATGTTTTAAAATTGACCTGTCAAGGAGTATAGGCTAAAGCGGCAAAAGCCGTCGCGGATTGTCTAAAGCATTCAAAAAGTGGATTAATGATTTGAGTTTGTGAACTTAATTCGAATTTTGAATATTTGTTTGAATTTTATCAAAAATAGTCATACGTTACTTTTTTGGTCTGACTAAAAAGTACCAGCCCATAAAGTTCATTGCCTTCTTCCAAAGTCGGAACATAAGTATGTTCTTAGCTTATTCATATTGCGAAAAAAAAATGTTTTTTTTTTTTCAGAAAAACATACGGAAAGTATAAAGCGAATAAGTGGCGCATTTAGAAAAACAAAAAAGCGGAAAGCGATTTTTTAAAAAGCGGCGATAGCGAAAAGCGATTTTTAACTCTGCATTTCATCAAACAATAATGCCGGATGTAATCGCAGCCAAGCAAGCGTTCACTTCTCGCCAATGTCATCTTCTTGTTTCGGTTATTATTTAAGTCAAAGAAGAAGTAGAGTTTTTTTCAATTGCTCATCCTGATTGGCACAGATGCTAATCGCTACGTCCTCGGATATGAACAAAATTTCGGGCAACTTAAAAAAATGTGACTTTGATCTCGCTTCAATCAGTTTCTGTAAGGTTAAGTAATATAAAAGCAATGTTTACAGAAACTTTTGTTTGTTTTGTTGAACAAATGTTACTGTTCCTTACTGTCAATTCAGTTACAATTTATTTAATATCGTTCAAACATAAGTCTTAACCCAAACTGGCAAATAACAAAGGTTATATCATAACGAGAATACAATGCTTTCAAACATTTTCATATTCGTCCACTTTTCATGTTCGCTTATCAACTTTGGAAAAACTAATGACATCGTGGTAAACTCCACCATTAACCCAGTGTGGGCTTCCTTGATGTTCATTATTCCCTTGGATCTGCCTCATAACTACTTCTCGGAAATTTCATTATGCAGACAGAGCAGCACATATTACTGCTTATTTGCGTTTGTTACTCAAAGTGACGCCCAGACTTTGTCGGGTACAAGACATACTTTAGACGGAACTAACTTAAGAGCAAGCAAACGGGCTCTTTTCCGAAAGCGACAAACCTAAAGCAATAAAACGAAAGCAACAAAACTAGCGTGATCAAAATTAAAAGATGAACTATCAAAATTTTTCGAGTTTTTGCTGAATTCAAATAACTTAAAACAATCAAACTTCAACGTAATATCTAAATTTTGAAAAACAAAGTATATCAACAAAGTTAATCGAAAAAGATCAAAATTTTTCTTATTTCAGTTTTTTAAAATTCTTGATATTAACAAAGGATCATAAAATTGCTCAAATTGAGCTGAGCGTCAATATTGCGATAGGTGCAGTAATTTTTCCGACTTTCGAAGAAAATGACGAATTATTTGTGCTCGGTGTGGTTTTTTCTTCAGATCAAAAAAATTTGTTATATAACCACAATCGAAAGTAATTTTCCGCATCATCATAATGCGATCTTCTCAAAGATTTTGGCCCAAATGATTTTAAACTTGAATTAAAAGAACTATAAAAATTTTTTGTGACTTGATGGACTAATAAACCATACGAGTAAACTGTTGCTTTTTCTGTTGATGTATGTCCTAAAAAAACTACTATGAGAAATTGCTTTGCTAGAACCGCTGTATAAAATTGCGCCACCATTGCTTAAGTCGCTTCTGAAACAATGGGCTTAAGTTTACGTTTATAACTGCGGACACTCTTTGAATGCAATATCTAACAAGACTTCTCGTATCAGGGCGAAGCACCGAATACTCCGACTGCCTTTTAAGGTTTATGGAGCAGAAATAAATGAAATAAAACAAAACCAAAAAAAACTTTTTCTAAAATTTGAAATTTTTTATGAAAATCATCCCCCTCACGCCAATAAAGTACAATAGGATAGATTTCGCTCCTTGTAACAAATCTACTATGGCAAATAAGTTTCTTTCAACCAATTTGGAACGATTTCTAAGAAGGATTAAATCTCCGCTTACGCGTTAATAACGCAAAATAAATAAATATATCGCCCGTAAATTGTCCCAAATTGGCCAAAGTGGCAATCTTCAAAACCCCATAACTTTACCAAAAACGATCACAGGTGAAATATCTTTTCAAAGTTGAGCTCAGGACAAAAATACCTTTTGAAAGATATATAAATAATTTTTGTCAAAAATGGCTAGTTAAAAAGTCGAAATTTGTCTGAAGAAAAAAAAACCCCATCCCGAGCACAAATTTTCCGTTACTTTCTTATCGAAAGTCGGAACAATAATGTTCCCCCTAAAACTTATTGTTTGTGGCTAGCTACTCTCCACAAGTGGCTGTAGCTCACTGCAGCAGTGACGGAATTTTTTTTTTGGAAAACAAGTTTCATTCAAAAATTGGAGCTAAATAAAAACTTAGTTCACTTTCAAGATTTGAAGCTACCAAAAATTGATGTTTAGCAAACCAATAAATTTCACGACCCCAATTTTTTGAGATCTTGATTTTTGTATTTAAATTTTACTGTATTTAAGAAAAGCATAATTTTTATGAACGCATCAAAAGGTTTAAAGTCATTAAGATTTGACTGATTCAAACAGATAAATTTTTTATCAGTCATTTTAAAAATATTTTCTGTAAAAACTGATTCAAAGCTATTATAATGTTAGTATTATCAGTGCGCGTATTACAGCGCAAATAACAACTTAATCGAAATCAAATCGTTCCAAATTCAATTAATGCAAATTATTTAGTCTTATGTTTAGGTTATTTGTATTTTGCATAGCGTGAGCGGGATTTTCTTAGAATCGAAAAAAAAACAAGACTGCTCGTATAGCAGAGCAAAGCTCCGAATATTCCGATTGTTCCTGAATTCATATCGAATAGTTTTTGGGAAAAGAAATTATTGAAAACCTATAAATTTCGGACAACATCAAAAGGTGAAAATTCGAGTCTACAAAATTAATATGACCAATTAGCTAGCCTCAATTCAATTTGGAACAATTTTGTTGTGCGGGATAACTTGCACACATAATTCGCGTTACGCTCTCAGCATTAGGAATAACCTCCTCAAAGTGCGCATAATTTAGTCCAGAACATGGTCAATTTGGCAATTTTGAAACCCTCAGAACTTTGCAAAATACAATTGGAGGTAAATTATCTTTTTAAATTTGAAATCAGAAAGTCGATATCTTTAATGGGTGTATAAAAATTTTTGTTCTGTTGAAAACTGTTATTTCGATCGGCAAAAAATTGACTGAATAAAAAAACACATCGAGCATAAATATTCCGTTTTCTTCAAAAGTCCGAACAATAATCATTTTTGGTGTCGAAATTATCCTCAACTTTTAAAAAGATGAAAACACTTTATTATATGCGTTGAAGGGCGAGTCTGATAAACCACGACTTCGGTCATACGGGCAGTCGGGTTTATTAACTATACAAGTTCTCGATATTTGTTCCACTAGTCTTGGAGACACAATTTAAGCAATTGCCATTGTTTGCTCTAATGAAAATCTTCCCAAAACGTAGAACTGATAAACAACCCGGCTATCAGAGCGACAAATAGAAACGCTGGACTTGTTCAAGGTCTTCAAATGCTAAAGGAGAGTTCTCTGAACGAAAGTGAGAAGTTGTACAGGCCAGTATACGAAATGCATAACCTTTATGTCGGAACAGACGGGTGTTGTGAAGGCTCGTATATAGTGCAATATGTCGACATTATGCATGAGATTCATCTTATTCTGTCAACTATTTTTAATTTTTAACTACAGCCATGTGTTTCATATGAAAATTAGTTTTTAGGGATTAAAATTATGTTAAGATATAAGTTTAAAGATTAACCAGGGGGAGGATCTAAATTTTTCTTGAGGGGTGGGGGTTGCAGCAGAAACTCAAAAAATTTTTTAAAAATTTAGCTGACCTTTTTTAGACCCATCAAATTAGTTTTCTGAGCTCTTCCATATCATGATAAATCCCATATTTTGAGTGCGCCACAGGCGATTTGATAAAAAACCGAAAAAAAAAACGTTTTTAAGCAAATTTTGGAAGGATTTCATCTAAAAACGCGTTTTTTTTGGCGTACGCTCCTCCCTAAAAGTTAGTAGAAAATAGCACCTTGAGAAAACGTATAAATTGTGTTGGGGAAACAAGATTTCATAAATTAGTACCAAAGGGAAGACCCTTTTGGTAAATAGAGGTCGAATCCCGGAGGGGAGGAGGGGCGTCCACTGCCTCCCCCTCCCAAATCTGCTGATGGGATTCAAAGATAGCGCCATAAAATTAAATCTACCGTTTTCAGGCGTCTCAAAGCAATAATCAAAATCATAGTTTTTGGGTTCCCTATAAATAGGGATAAAAACTTGGTAAAAGAGCATAATATGCTCAGAAAAAAGGAAAAGGAGAATGTTGTCTAAAAAATTTTATCAGAGGCATTTTCAGACTGAATATTCTTAAACTACTAAAAACTTTGTTCATCAAATCATCATTATCTTGAAAATAATTGTCTAAAAATTGTTTGGTGGTTGAACCTGTTTGGTTCCCGGTTGTTAAACCTAATTACCATTTCTGTAAAATGAGGGAACAAAAACTGCAAACTTTTTGGGAGGATACGAGATTTAGCAGCAAATGAAGGTTTTAATACAAACTTAGTGTGTATTGCAACAACTAAACTTCTGTTAAATGAAAATTTTTGTTGAGTTTCCTTAAAAATTACTTTTTCATAACTTCAAATTACATTCGCCCTTTATATTACCTAGTATCGAATTACCATTCCAAAAAAAACAACGGTCGAGCTAATACAAAATTTGTATCTTCGTAATATATTACCATAATTTTTGCGAACGAGGGGTTGGAGTTCCAGCGAAAGAGATTCATATAAAATTTGTTAAAAAACAAAAAATAAGCTTGATCTTTTTTCATTTTGATGACATGTTGCAATTGTATCGTTATCAAGGCCAAAATTATTACTATTTCCATCACGGTTACACAAACGCATTGCTCACTCCCAGGGAATACTTAACAAAACTGACAGACTATTCTGAAGGTGACAAGCGCTTGAATTTCATTGTTTCTTATTACTCCCTTGAGTGTAATACTAACATGATAACCAAACTCGGTTTCGGAATTGGGAGCCTCAAACGCGCAAATCAATCAGATGTTGTTAGATTTGAGAGACCTGGGGCCCCTTATCAACTGAAAGTTGGACACCAATGGAGTGCTCAAATTCCGTATGATAACCCTGATGATTTTTTGTCTTTTCATTGGTTCAAACACCAAGTCATGTGTCAAGAGCAGCCTTGGATTTGCGGTCAAGAAGACAGAGTTATTCAGAATTGGTTCCCTGGTTGGTGGGAGCTACTATCTTCAGATCATGTAAACTAGTTTATTTTTATCATGATACAAACTATAGAAGAAAAAAATTGTATTCAGTCGCTTTTAAGCTCATATATAAGATCTCAAAAAAATGCAAAAAAAATCCACAGCACGCTGAAAAAATTCCGAAATGATTTTGCTGTCTCGGCGTCGAGGGCGGGGTGTTTTCGTTTTTTCAGACCAACTTTGGCTATGGAAAAATTTGTTTTTGTCGGAAATTTTTCAAACCCTATTGAAAACATCGACGCCTTGAGCTAAAATAGTAATAACAGTTTTATGCCTGCAACCATTTACTCAATGAAAATAAAATTCATTTAAACATTTTACAATTTTTTCCATTTTATCTAAGAAACTTGAAGACAAGGCGCAAAAAATTCGACAGCAGAGAGCTGAACCAAATGCTAACGCACCAAATAATCATTTCAATTTGAAAAACTGAGGCTAGAAAAATGGTGCCATCTATTCCAGTCCAAACGCAAGCTAAATGACTTCAAAGTGGACGACTGAACGAAAAATAATATTTATAATCCAATCTTTCTCTGCAACAAAGAAGGGTAGTCGAAATTTTTTGGGCCTTGCGCAGATATGAACGCTTTCTTTGAAGTAATTTAGTTACTGTAGTAAATGATTGTGCCCGAATGGTCATTTGAGAGTGATCAATGATTCCTACTCCGACTTCCCGATCAGACCAGCATCATTGATTGCGAGTTAAAGCGTATGCTAATGAGTCTTCCTTAATTAAAAGAGGACTGCTCGTACCAATTCAGCGCCTTGATTCATTTAATCAAAAGTTTAAGACATGCTAGTATACTTTTCAAGGATCAGATTTCTGATTTTTTTAAAAACTCAGTTTGACAGTACGTACAGTTTTATCTAGAAGAAAATTTTTAATTAAGCTACTTATACATAAAGATTTAAAATATTTCCTTTCCAAGGTTAATGTTTCATTTGTTTCGATTTCAGCGTTGAATTATTTCAAAGCAGCCCTTCTAAATTCATTGAATCATTTACAAATTGTTTTTGACATCTTGAGTCATTTCATAGCTTAAATTTCATCGCTCATACCGTCACCCAAAAAAGTGGCATACTTTTTAAAAAGTACGACTATCGAAAACTGAGTAAGCTAGCTACATTGCTGAATTAAGTTAATGGGACAAAACGCAAAAAATTGGCATAAAACACATAATTTTTGTCAACATTTTTCTCAAAGTTGATTTTTAGTGAAATATGATGATGACATAATTTGCTCAGCGTTTAAGCAAAATAAGCATAATGCGATTTATGTTGCAAATTCCGGCCCCAAGTTTTACCCCAAAAATGGTTACAAATAAATAACAGTGAGCCTCTTTAAAATCACACTGAGCCGCTGACACAATTAAAAGACGGTGAGCCTCTTTTCTAGCTCAAAGTTTAAGAAGTGCAATAATCTCCAAAAAATGGTGCCAGATTATTAATTTTTATTTGATAGCCAAAAAATGAAAGTTTTTACTATATGAAAAAAAAATAATTTTTATTATAACAACTTTTATACAAAATGTTTTTTGTTAAGAGTTTTTATATAGTTCTTTGTTTTTTTGTTCTACTTAGATATTATATAATTTTTTGATGGGCTACAATAAATGCTACTGTGATATAATTGTGTCAGCAATTGAGAGAGCAGTTTTGTTTGTTGTAATGTAGTTTTGACTAAAAAAAATTATTATGATGCTTTTTGGGATATAGTTTGAGCCCAAAATCATAGGCGAAAATAAACTGCGTCAAAATATTTCTGCTTAAAAATTTAGAAAATTTTTATCATCATCATTTTTCACTTAAAAGCCACCCAATCTTACAAGTTTTATAAATTTTATGAGCTTAGTCCGGATAATTAAATCATCAACTCGACTTAATTTTCATGGCTTCATTTACTTTGCCGTTACTTATGCTCTGCAGAAATTTTTTCGCAGCTTAACTTATGAATTTGGTGAAAAAATGTCAGCTATGTAGAATTAACATTCTACATTATATTTTTAAATTTCAATATCTAGCTAGATGTAATTAAAAAGTTTCAACAAAAATCTGAAACAGATTCACCACTCGATTAGCTGGGTCGAAAAATTTGTTGTTCAAGCTGAATGGATTCATTCTAGTAAAATTAAAAAACTAATTTCTTAAACCATAATGTTGTTGTTTGATCAAATTGCTAGATTTTGAAATAATCCAGGCAAAATTTTCTAAAATATTGAAGTCAATATTAGATGAGTCAAACTTTAAACGGTTCTAATGTTCTGTGGACATGACAGCAAATCGACTGTTGAAAATTTGATTTTTTTCTGACAATTTGAAAATTTTTTCCAAATTTCCTCGTTATCATCACAGCATTACAAGCGATTAAATGATGAATCATTTGAGGTTCATTTCATTAGTTTAAAATAGTTTGCTATTCAAACAACTAAATTCTGGTGAAAATAATTTTTGTTTTACTAAATTGAGTCCATTTAGCTTATGCTTCATTTTTTTGGTCCAGTTATTCGAGGGATAAAACTTTTTGTTTTGTTTGAAAATTTTGAATGTTTCGCCGACACTTTAATTTTTATCTAGCCAGCTATTAGACTATAAAGCCATATTATAGTAAGTAAAACCTAGATAGCTAGAGTTTTTTTGCAACGTTTTTAAGTCTTACAGTCACAGAAAAACTTGTACTGCTATGACTTTTTAAACACACAACTAAGTCTTACAGTCACAGAAAAACTTGTACTGCTATGACTTTTTAAACACACAACCACGATTGTATAAAAAACTTGAATCGTTTTGCCACAACTTCAATTTGCCCTTTTTTTACAAAAAAAAACTATCTAAACTTTTAAATTGATAACCAAATCTTGATTAAGTTGAATTGATGATCAAATTTTCAATCAACGTAAAAAAGGTTCAAGCACATTGATTAATAAATGGAACAATGGAAACTTTCAAAGTCATATTCAAATATTTTTTGCCACCAAAAAACTCGCTCAAAAATAAAATTGATCTTGATAACAAATTCATTTTAACAGCTACAATTGTTTTACTGAGAGTACAATTAAGGTTTAAATGAAATGGTAATTGAGCCACGTAATGATATTCAATAATTCAAATAGTGAACTATTTTTGTTCTGGCCAGTGGCACGAATTGTTTTGTCATCAAATACAATTTTTATAACCTTATACTTAAATTTAGTAACAACTTGTATACTTTTTTTGTTCGTATTCGCGGATAGTTCCAATTTCAGAGTTTCCACATGATTGAAGTGTTTTAAAATTATAATCGAGGTATGTTCCCGCCATGCTCGAGGCATGTTTCGACCTTGCTGGTGGTATATTTCGACTGTGCTCGATGTTTGTTTCGATTGCGCTCGAAGTATGTTTCGACCATACTTGACCGAGCTCGAGGTATGTTTCGAACTTCCTCCACTTTATTTCGAATTTGTGCTCGACCCAAACCTCTATCTCGACTCTACTTTTTTGAACGAGCACTGATATGTGCTCGACTTTGAAAGTCAAAAAATAAAGTGAGCATCTCCGTCCGGTTAAGTCTCTGTCGTCAGGCAATTTGTGCAAACGGCATCAAATGTTTCATTTTTTCTGCAATAATGCTTCTAGTTTTAGCTTCAAGATAAAAGACAACTGTATTTGATGTTGGCTTTTTTCTGACTAATTGACAACTGTTAAATTTTTCGATGGCTGAATAATTGATTTGATTGTTTTCTAGATCTTTGATTTGATGTTTTCAGAAAAACTGTTTCTAATTTTAGCTTCAAGGTAAAAGACAACTGTGCTTGACATTGGTTCTTGCGTTTATTTCCGGTTGATAAATTTTTTGATGACAGAATGTTTGATTTGAGTCTTTTCTAGCTTTTTACTTTTTATTCGTGGTGACGACTTTGTTGTTGCCCCAAAATTTTTTTTACAGTTTACATAGGGACCATGTGTAGGGCTTCTCCTGGTTCCTGGCCGAGCTGTATATGATCACCAAACATGCCGGTCTAGCTAACTGTGCATTAAAAATACAGTATTACTAGATTTTTTTAACATATATATGACGCTTTTGTGAGCAAAAAAAAACGCAACTTTTTCCAGTTTTAGCTTCGTGCTTGATTTTGCTCTCGTCTGTATTATCAATTTTGATGTAACCTTTGTTTTATGTTTGATTTGAATACTTTCTAGCTTTTAGTTTTTGTGGTAACAGCTTCATCGTTGCCCCAAAATGTTTGCTTTTGTTTTTCTTTGCGACCATGTCTAGGCCTTCCCTGTATTTGATCAGCAAGTATAATTGCCTAGCAAACTGTACCCTGAAAAAAGCATCTTAAATGTATTAGTTTCTGATTTGTATTTGCCTTGCGTTTATGCAAACAAAAACAAATCCGACAAGATTTTCATTACTAAAATTGTTCAAAATTTTTTATAAGGCGCGTCTCATTCAGCGACTTTGCGCTACTAATGTTTCGCGCGACCCATAGTGCAACTTTGCGCGACTCAAGCCTCTTGCGGGAGCATGGAATTTGGGTAGCAGCAAGTCCATTTCGGCAACTTAATTCAGTCGAAACTCGAATCGCGGACCTCGCCTCAGGATTCAAAAAATGAAATCTATGAAGGGCTATCCAGTTTTTTAAAGAACAGTCAGTTTCTGTTATTTGCCAACTTTCCAGACTGATTTTACTTGTTAAGCAAAGATCTTCTTTTGCAACTCGAGGCCGGTTTTTTTCGTCGAAAATTTCCCGTGGTACTGCTATTGCAGTGACACTTTATTTGACTGTGATAAACTTGATGCTAGACTTAAAATGAGTGCGCATCCCCACACACTATCATTGTCATGGCTAGAGATTGAATACATTTTGTTGGATAAATCAATCGTTACTGTTCAATTTCATAGCTCAATTTGCTTCTTTGAAAAAAAAACTAATTGATCGACGAAGTTAGGATTCAAATAAAATTTCAGCAAACCACAATAATTTAATCAGAATCTTTTTTGGGACTTTTTTCAAATGGCTTAAATACGTCATTTGCACACTTCTGCATGACTAGATTTAGATTTGATTAAAAAGATGGACAACTTGGTTTTCACATGAGGCGAAAATAGCTTTTAATGACGTCATAGCGTTTCCTTTGGTATCTTACCCTCTGTTACATATGTAATGCTTGATTAAAAAAAGGTGAATGAAATTTCAGAGGTAAATTTGTCATAAACTTCTCTTACAGCAGCTTCACAATCAGTGAAAAATCAAAGCCGAGCGAGTTAAATTGATCAAATTGATCTTTTTCAAATAAATTAAATCTTTTCAAATTAAATTATTTTTGCTTTTTTTAAAAATTGGTAATGCTTGATTCATGTTGGATGAAATTAGCAATTGCGAAGATAAGCTGAAACCTAATTTCAAATACATTAGCTCATGCAATGTTTTGGCGAATTCACACTCTTTTTTTGTAGTTAATTTCAGAAGCACTCGTTCGTTTTTTTTTTTGTTCCGACCACACTCGAAGAGTGGAAAGAAACAATATTTTAAGGTCTTTTCCAAAAAAATTTTCCCAGCCAATTTTGACTACCTCAGTAAAAGCTTGCCGGGAAGGGGAAAGGGGGTGGGGGTAAAGAGTGGAATTAAATTAAAACCCTATCGATCGTGATTCGGATTCTAGAACAAATTAGAAGAGTTTCAATGTCAAGAAACACTGATCCGAATACTTCGAATTTTCAGACTAAATTAGACAAAAACTGTTGAAAGGCTGATCTCCCAGCTTTATTTTAGCTATAAATTTAACGCTACTATAAGTTTAACGCTACAAAAAAATCGCCTCCCCCTCCCAAAGATTCGATCCCCTCGCCAACCAAAGATTCTCCCCTTTGGTATTAGTTTATGACATCCATCTTAAGCCGACCAATCCTAAAATGTTTCGAAAGGCCTATACATTTTGGTCAAAATTTGGTCAAATCATTTTTCAAAAAACTAATTGAACTAATTTGGTCTAAACTAAAAAATTAATTGGGTCCATACATTTTTGGACAAAAATTTTGGACAAGATCAAAAGTTTCCGAAAAGGCCAAAAACAGTTTTTTTGACCTGTTTTTTTTTCAAAAAATTGCTTGCGGCATAAAGTTTTTGGTCAAAATAAGGTCTCTATAGTGTTGCGGTGGTGCTCGGAAAATCAATTTGGTCGACCTAAAGAAAACGGTCGAAAACATTTCTGGAAAAAAACCCCTCCCTGTTATTCGGGTTATTTTAATAGTTAACCCAATTACTGAGTAATATCGCAACCAGTAACAGAGCCGATTTTCTAACCTTAGTTTGTTTTCTTTTTCTCGCTTTTATGTGCCTCAAAATATAAAAACTATTATCAGTGATAGCGTGTAATTATTACCAATTAATACTAACTATAAATTGCTCAAAAATATAATTTAATTTACAATGTTTTTTCCAAAATTGAATGAAAAAGTGAGTTTGTGATACGTGAGTTTGCTGAACACATGTGAACTAAAAATTATTTCAGATCGTAATTAGAAATCATCTGGTCGATTTGACCTGACAAATTTTGGCGTGTTTTTCCAATTCGCCCGTCTGAGCAAAGGTCTCCTTACACTGATGACAAGAAAGAACAGGCTCCTTTCCTGTATGTAACTTCATATGGTTGTGCAAATGTTCAGCTCGGGCAAATCGCTTGCCGCAAAATAACCAATTGCACACGAAGGGTCTTTCTCCAGTATGCCATCTCAAATGAGCTTTCAAATGAGATGTTTTGGTGTATGTTTTGCCACATCCCGCAATGTGACAGCTGTGAATAGGCTTACGATTCGCCGAGTCTCCAGATGGTACGATTCCGAGAAACTGAGCTGTTCTGGACTGCACGCAATTTGGACACTGACATGCCCCCTTTTCGCCCTGATTTCCCAAGGTCATAGCAGGTTTCAAGCCCCCAGACACATCGAAATTTTGCAGGCAGCTCGGGTTGAAAATAGGGTTAGACGCTTGTCCAGGTGCGAATTGAGAAGTCGCTTGCATTGGATTTCCAGGCCAACCCGGGAGAACTGAAGGTGTGAACAAACTTTGGACCGGCGACAGTTTCGAGCTCATCATTGTCGAAGGTACGGAAACATTTGGCGGCATCTGAGCTTGCTGCATTTTTTTCACGTGAGAAGTGATCAACCCTGTCTGGTTTTGGTTTCCTGGAATCGGATTGGATCCTTGAGACTGGGATCCCGGGATTCCTGGTTGCATGTTACTGATATCTGGTAAATTGGCCATGAAGGTTGGCATTGTTTTCATAGGTGATAGAAAACCAGAAATGTTACTATTCGGGCTGAGTTTACTCGTTGGCGTTTGCTGATGATTCTGCTGATGATTTTGAGGTATGCTAAACGGGTTCCAATTCGGCACCGTTCCAGGCAGCCAGTTGTTCAACATGGGATCCAAATTGGGTGCAAAGGAGTTTGGTGCTCCAAGATTGGCGGAGTTTTGAGCTAATCTTTGAAACGCTTGGGGTGAGCTAAAGAGTAATTGCTGATACGCAAGAAAAATATTATTAGCTGGGTTTGATGAATTTATTCGATTTGCATCGTTGGAGTTTGCACTTGTGGGCATGGAACTATGGAAATTTGCGAACATTTTCTGTTGCTCAAACATAGCTTTCAAATCACTGTTTGTTGTAAGACTACTGGTGAAACTGTTGTTATTACTACTTATTGGGCTACTAGGGTCTTTTTTAATAGTCTCAGTTTTAGTTTCAATAGGTCGAGGCTTTTCTTGGCCGACTGGCGATGTTTGAGGACCTTCGTTTTCTTGTTTCCAAGGCTGGTAGATCCCTCCTTTGCTCTTAGAATTTCGAGATTTGTTTGTGCTGGGTTTGGTTTTGGTTTTGACTGCATGTAGGGAGGCTCCCCCACTCTGTTCACTTTGGCTGATGGGTGGGGGCTGGGCGATCGATCCAGTTTGTTCCAGTGATTTGAGCATGATCATGTCGAGAAGCTTTTGCAGACCTGAATAAGATAACAAGTTTAAATAATATGTAGTTTAAAGTTTTGCACCGATGAAGTATGAATGCAAAAAGCTTGAATTTTTTTGCTTATAGAAAGAAAAATTAATCTGACGATATCATTTCTACAATTTCGGGGAAAATTTGATTTTGCAATTGATAAGAGAGACAAAAGTAGGAATTATATTTAATTTAACGTCAAAAAAGTGGCCTATTTATCGTTGGGTCTCCCAACAAAGCAGCGTAAAATCTCATTAATCCTTCCAATAAATTTTGAGCCTTTTCCCTTTTTATTCCCCTCTCCCTTTTTTTATTCTCATGAGCCTCTGAGACTAGGATAGGGGTGAAATGTTATTGCTCCCGTCTACCCTTTTGTTTATTTTAATCACTCCTAATAAGTCAATTTTAGCCCAGGAAGTAAGTCGCAAATGCCCAAATTACTATCATCCCAACACTAAATAACTATCATTAAAACCCCCAGAGGGTGATTAAATTGTAAAAGTACCCCCTATCAAAACAGGTAAGCCATTCAGACGAGAACAATAAAAGGGGGTGCTGTCAAGTTGGAATCACAATTCACTAATCAACATCCAACAGCCCATTAGCCCACATTAAACCACACAGGAGTGCTCAAAGCCGATAAACAAGCTGTCGAAATTTTGAGAAGCGCTGGTTTCTCAAAAAATGCAAAAAAAAATCTGCAACTAAAGATATTCCAGATTTGTAAAAAAAAAATGCGAAGCTAAATTTATTTAACTGAGTTAAAATTAAATTCATAAAAAGATGTCTCGGATATGGTAAATTAGAAATTTTAATGAACAATTCCGCTTTACGCATCTTCTGATATTGTGATCATCGGCCAACTTTCCGCTCAAAAACTTCCACAATGACAGCGGGCTAAATTGGAAAATTGGACATGCATTGATAGAATGCATTAGGGTGTGTGAGTTCACCCAGGAGACTGTGGGATAATTAATTCCCCCTTGTTTCCCTCATTTGAGTGGGGGACCTTATTTTAGATAGCCGATGGAGAATGAGGATGAGCCACCTGAATTTCGCATGTGTTGATTGCATAATGCAACTGATGACAATAGACGAAATTAAACATCAAAAAAACCGGGCAGTTTCAATTAGAGTTATCAGAATTCGAAAAAAAATCACAGAGAATAGTTTTCCATGATTAATGAGACGTCAATCGAACTGTCTTGCATAGATAGCTGAAAAAAGGGACACTACACTTATGGAGCATTTTCTGGATCCTTTTCGGCTCCAAAAACCTTCGGATATGGTTTTGGTCTCTCCTTTTTTTAAAAAAAAAACTTTTGTTTATTTAGAATTAGATCCAAAGTTGAGTTTAAACTTTTAGCAATTAAGACTCATTTTCATGCCATTGGCAACTTTGCGTTAAAAAACTGAAAGTGTACAACTGATACTTACTTGGATTGATAAACATTTTTTTGCGTTATATTTTTCACAAATAATGAACACAAGTTATCTCTTAGCAACTGAATTTTAAGCAGCAGAGAGCAAAGGATGATTTTAAGCCTTAACTCTTCAATGGTTGTAGCGTGGGGAGAAAATTAATCTTCAGCCCAGCTTGATTTTTAGTCTTCAAATTTCGGGCACAAAAGAGACATCTGAAAACCCCCTTTATAATTGGTTCACCACCTTCCGCCGATGAACCCTCTGAGTAGCTTCTCACTCATCGCCCAATTGAGAACGCCTATTACGCAATCATTACATAACAGCTGGATGTCTTTTTCAGTTGAATTGCAGGCCGGAAACGGAAATGGTAGATTGCCGGACACTTCCCGCCTTTTGTTGTTCACGCCGGGAAAAATGAATGGCCAAATTAGGGGCAAATTAAATTGCAAAGAGGAGGGAGTTTTGAGAAAATAAGATAAGTTCATTTATGAAGCAGAAAACTGAAAAAATAGATATAAAAGACCTTTGTGACAATATATTAAGCATAAATCGAAAAGTATTTACATTTTTGATTAAACGAATTGCAGAGTAAGAAAAATTTAAACATTAACGGTTCATCTTTTTTCTATTCAATTAATCCTAAGGCGAAGCTCAAAATTCAACAATCACATACCTGTTTTTTGCTCGCAGTTTCCTTCTGTCTATCTATCTGCCTGCTTGTCGGTCTCTGCAGTCTTGATTTCAGTTTTTTTTTCGAGGAAGAAAGACAATGAAAATTTTGCATCCAAATAAAACAGCTGAGTTTCAGTCGAAATTTTTTTTGATATCGTGATCAATTTTTGCTGACGAGTCACGTTTTTTAGTTTTCCATGTGAAGAAAGATCGGTGGTAAAAAGAGTAACTTTATTGAGTGACAGTTGAATTAAAATTGATATTTTCAATTATTCAATTATACCGCCGTTTAATAATTACCATGCCTGTGGCTAAAATATAATTGGGTATTTTTACTTTTTCTACTTTATAAAAATCTTTTATTACAAAACTCTTTTTATAATCTGATTTGTATCAGTGAAAGCACATTGCAAACTGATGATTAGTTCTAACTTGACGAATAATAATCGTAGTTTAATTTGATGATACCATTTTTCAAATTATATTGTTATGTAATTACCATCTTACCCTTTAAGGCGCTCTCTAATTGATAGGTGAGCTCGCAGAGCTAATGCCATCTAATAACTAATAAGCAAAAACCGCATTAGACAGTACGCTCTACGGCTATAAACAGAGAATTTAAGACGTGTTAAAACGTACTAACAACTTATTATAAAAACTTTAATTACCTACCAAAAGATGAGCACAATTCAATTAAAGGATTAGTGCACAGCAATCCGCTACAAGGTGCAAATTAATCTTCAGCATTCCAAAATTCCAAATTACATACTCATCCATAAGTTATTCGAAAACCGTATATAAAATCAACCCCCCCCCCCCCCCTACACACACGCACTCACACACACACAAGATATCATAACAGTAGGTTAAGATATCTTTTGACTTTGAAAAAGTATTCATTCATCGAAGTCATTAACTTGTGCCGTGTTGCCGTTGAGGCTTATTTGAAGTTGACCAAAATCTACTTGACGCTGATTTTTGCATAGCTTGCATATCTACAGGAATTGGTAAAGGCGGAAACTTGCTTCAGGAGTTCGAACAACCTTGGTAAAGTGTTCGGATTTTCTTGAAAGTCGCCCTCCCTATGATATCTACTAAAGAATTGCCACTCCTATAAATAAAAGCAGTTATGGTTCTAAGAGAGTTCTATGTAAAAATAGAATTTCGCTGCATTTTGATTGGTCGAAAATTTGACTAACTTAACCTACTTAACAGGGAGGGGGTAATCGTTAAGTCCATCCCAAATTTCTAAACCCAAGTTTTAGCCGACCTTAATTTCATACATCAAGTTCTTTCGACATCCAACCATAAGTAACCATAATAACTATCAGGAGCGAATCTAGGAGTTTCTCGGGGGGGGGGGGGGGGGTGGGTTTCTTATTTTCAAAGATTTTCGAAAAAAAACTTTAATTGTCGACCGACCTCATTTTTTTAGGCCGACCAAATTGAATTTCCGAGCTCTCCCAAAGCACTAAGAAGACGCCGAAGGCAAAATTTTGAAAAAAAAACAGGCCAAAAAATGCGATTTTAGGAACTCTTTCGTCAGCCAATAATAGATATCTCAAAATAGTACAAAGGAGGGACCCTTTGGGGCGGCAGGGGGTCGAATCCCTGGGAGGGCGGGGGAAGATGCCCGCTTTTCACGCCCCTGATAACTACTAACGATTATCGAGATTCATAGTAGAGCTTTTGAATCAAAAGTTAACCATGAACATCATATTTATTTTTTATTCCTATTCCAGTAGGTATTTTTTATGGACAGCAATTTTTGTGCGGACAAACCTGAAAACTAAACAAAAATGCGTTAAGCTTTTTAAACTGATCTACCATGAATCGACCCAGGTCGACCTATATAATTCAGGTCGAAAAGCAGACTTTCAATCGACACATACGGCTCAGCCATTTGGCGAAAAAGTTGAAAATTGATCTTACTTAACTTCAAATAAAAACTACCAATTTCTTTGTGAAACTCCTAGATGCAACTCTATGAATGACTGCCATCCAGAGGAATGGTTTGTCGAAAAGTACGCCACTTGAAAAACTAGAACCAAATGGAACCAGTTTTAAACAAGTATTTAGAACCAACTATATTATTGATAGATTATCACTGTAAAATACTTAAAACTAACCAATCATAATCCATGACTAAAACTTTCAATAATTTATTGTTTCAGCCAGAGATGAATAAATTTAACTTAGAAAACAGTTGCCCTTCCTAAGTTCTACTTCTAGATTCTAAGCCTCGCAAAAACACCAGTATACACTAGATCTATTGAGACTAGGAAATATAAGAGTAAGATTAGAATTGGTATTAAACTAAGAAGTTATACGAAGCGATCCGGCAGAAAATAAGATAGCGTGACGAACAGACGCTGTTCCTTATCCGAAATTACTTTATGAGAAAGCCACCCTTGGTCTGAAATTGGTCTGAAATATACCGCAAAATTAGCTTTTTCCTATCTAAAGTTTTCTTGAGGGGTGGGTGGATTTTCATAAAAATGTTCAAAATTTTAGTTGACCTTTTCTTAGTCCGACCAAATTTTTTTCCAAGCGTTCCCAAAACACTATAAAGGACCTTTTTTAACAAAATTTTCAGCGCCAAAACTTTAAAAAGTCAAAATGCTGTGTTTAGGCACTTTTTGGAAAATGCTGTTGAAAAAATTACGTTTTTTTGGCTCGCGCCTCCCTTCAAAATAAGTATATATTGGCGCCAAAGGCGATTTTAGAAAAACTTTATGGTTGGTTAGTCAAAAATGGATGTCATAAAATAATACCATTAGGGGGGACCCTTTGTTTGGTGAGGTGGGCGAATCCTTGAAGAAAAGGGCGTCAGCAATCGCCCTTTTAATCCGCCCCTGCTTATTACTACAAAATTTTTGATCATTTTTTAAAAGAAAGCTTAAAAAGAACATTTTGACTTATTGTAGTTTTTCTTTAGGTACATTTCAATCAAAAACGGAAATTTTTTATTTGTAGTCTGACTATCAAGATATAAACTTTGTTCCCTATACTTCCTCGAGTAAAAATTGTGTTGCTCCAATCAATCACTTCAAGACTTAGCTTTACGAAAAATTCAAATTGTACCTTCGGGTACTGGCAAAGATTTGTGAACAGTTTGAATCTTATAGTAAAACTATGAACTGGGTGAAGTGCCGGCTGTCTTTTGCCGTGCTCCATTCTTCCAGTGTGTGCTTCCGAGGCACAAGGACCAAGTGGAGGAGTCTTGGCTCAGACCATGATTTCTTACCATAGAGAAATTTTTACGGATGTTCTAAAATGAAGAGAAATTGGCTAGCTATACGCAGAATCTTCTAGTAATGTAAAACGTGGATCTAAACGAAACAAAATGTTGATAAAATGAACCAAATAGATAATTGACTGATTTAAAAAAAAGTTTGAATCTTATATGCGTAGGTGTTTTTAATTTAGCATCACTCAATTTTTGAAGTCTTTTTTTTTGGTTCACTCGAGTGAAAAAACTTAAGTGGTTCACTAAAAATAATTAAATGGAAAGCACTTTAAATTTAATTCAATTCAAATAAGGTTCTGAGCTAGCATTTTTCGAAAATTTGGCTGTTTTGCCAAACATCTACTTTATCTTCACAGTTTTTCTTTTTGATCGTCAAAGGAAGCAAAAAATGTTAATAATCAAAATGTCTTAGCCCAAATAACGTGCATTGAATAGGTAATTTAAAAAAAATAGTGTTCCTTGTTAGTGCGAACATTCGGCCTTATGTTTTATTGGCTCATTGTGATTGATAGACTCATTTTGGTACAAAAATTTGTTTTTTTTTCTCTTCTATATAGTTGGTAGGAAGTGAGATGAAACTAAAGCGTATGCCGGCAGTTTTATGAAGAGGTCAATATATCTGTCAGATACATAGACCATATTAGAAGTCATTTTTAACGTGCAGTTTTGTCAATTTTTATGAGTTTCTATTAATTTTTTTTATTGAAATTATTTGTTTTTTTTTAACTTAATTTCATCTAAGCTAATATAACCTAAGCGTTAATACTTGTGTGTTGTTGAAATCAAAAAATAGCATAAAAATGGGAAAATAATTACAAAAAAAATGTTTTCGTATGTATAGCCTAACAGGTTTTTTTTCATATATAGAAAATTAGGTGAAGCTGAATGATAAATTACTTGCAAAATGCGTTTTTTAATTTATGAGTAAAGTAGAGCAACCTAAAAAATATTCTCAAGTTTGAAACTGCTGATAAGACAAATTAAACAGTGCGCATGATTAAACTATCATAAAGTGGCCGGGAGTAACTTTGAGAAGTTTTCTGCAACAATTTTTGTCTTTATTTTTGATATTTATATTATTATACCATAAAAACTTTCAATGTTGATTGTTTTATGAGCAGAATTTATTTGTTATTTTTTCTTAAGGTTGTTGAAGAGTAATTGTTATAAAACTGAAAACCAATGAATATAAATACCAGTTTGTTTCTCCAACTTGTATCTGTGCCGATAGTTTTGTATGTATATATCAAGACAAAAAAGGTGATTTATCCTTGCTCCGGTTGAACGGTTTCACGAAAGGCAACTGAATATGGCGTAGTGCTGGTATTTTCTCCAGTTTTTAGTCGCCTCAATATAAACTCGTAGTAGTTCAAGTCTGAAATACTTGATAAATAATCTTTTTGGTCTAATTCTGAGTTGAGAAAAGCCTCAATTATTTTGTCTCCGTGTCGAAAAAACAGTCTAATTAAATGTCACAAAAATTACACAAAAAAAACAATGAAAAATTCAGCTTTTATTTTAATTCTACATTGATTGTTACGATACACA